TCTCATAGATTGTTCTGTGTATCTCTCATTACATGATGATTATCACACTTAAGCTTAGACTAATGACAGGGCAATTCACAAGAGGCAGTGTGGTAGGTATATGGGACTGAGGGTTAGTCTTAGAATTAGGGAGTCCAGAATTCTGCTTCTAGTACATACTAGTCAGGTACCCCTAGGTAAGTTACAACCTCCAGATTCTCCAGGCAGCTCTTCAAGACCATGAGTTACAGAGTTGCTGCTCTGAATTGGTAATGGTAATTTTCACACCAGAAGTTTGTCACACCAGTGAAACTAGTATAATTGAATGTGCTTAGAGTTTGCCAACAGTTTGAAGTTCCACAGTCCCATGTAGCCCATATATAGGTCCAGGGGGCTCACTTTTCTCTACTCCAACTCCACTGTCAAGATAGGAATTCAGAGTCAGGCTATTGCTGTAGCTCCATTCCCTCACAACTCTAGGGGCTACCCATGAGGGGCTATGATTTTTTCCTGATTCTATTTCCTCAAGCCTCCATCTGGTATGTTCCCCTAATTCAATTGCCCAAGTTATTGATCATTTGTCCAATATAATTTGCCATTGTCAGTGTTTACCAGTGTTGAGGCCAAGGGGTGGTGGGAACCCCCAAAATTCAAGGGCAAGTGACTCAAGGCGTGCCTTGAATGAATTCAACACAAGCTTTCTTTCAGGCAAAGACAAAGTTTATTGGAACACCAGTTGGGGTAGGCGAGATTTTAAGAATCCACCATATTGGCCAGATTTTAAGAATCTGAGCCTTTGTGATGTTTGTATTGACAAGTGGGCCATTCTCTTAAGGAATCTGAGCACTTTAATGGAGGCAAGATAGACTTTTTATATAGAAGACTGGGGAAAGATAAGGGGTCTAAAAGCAATTAAGGGTGGAAAGTGGCAGGATGATCCAGAGGTAAGGCTGGGCTAGGTTAGAGAATTGGAGGTTTGGGCACAAGGCACAATGAAAGGATTAACTGGGAAGGGCCAATTGCCCCAGGCAAACACCAGGGACCTGGGCCAAGTGGGAAAGTCAGAGGATTTTCCTTTTTTGAGTCCAGATCCCAAAGGCATGGTCTTTTCCTTTTAGAGGTTCAGATCCCATCCCCATCACCAGTATCATTTAAACAGTTACTTTCTCCTTAATATTGTCAACAAACAACATCAATTATCTTTTAAAAAAGGATATTTATTGAAAAGATATAGCGAGAACCAAAGTAAAAAAATAATCATCCTGAACTGGAGCACGCTGTTCTCTTTACCACCTTCAATCTCAGGGAGAATGGCCTCAAACTTAATGTGGTAGCTACTGAGCATTCATCTTATCAAATTCGTTTCCATGTATGACATAAAAGATGGGGGAGCTGCTCCCTTGTCTTGCCTGCAGAATGCTGTATTTTTGCTCCTGGATAGTTTGACTACTGGGCAGGCTCACTAGGGTTCCTCCTCAGTACTGTGCTGGCTCCACAAAGGGCTCAGTGGTTGCTGCTGTCCCAACCTTGTTGGGCCAAATTTCCTAGTAACTCACTTTCTTTGAAATCTTTGAATTCTGATTTCCCCAAATATAGGATATACATTAGACTTTGTGCAGATTTCCCTTCCTTACCCACTGGTACAACTGAATTGACATTTATTAAACATTTGCTATTTTGTGTCAGGCACTGCGATAGAAAGTGAAGATAGACATGTGCACGTGTGCACATACACGTGCATGCACACGCACACACACACTCACACACACAAAGAGGACTAGTTCCTACTCTCAACTAACACTCTACTGAAGGAATATGAACACAAAGATAAGTAAATAGATGATAAATGGAAAAGTGAGAAAATACTTGGGGAAGGCTTCAGGTAGTAGATGGAACTTGAGCTGAGTCTTTAGGTAACTAAGTCTTCTAAGAGGTGGAACTAAGGAGGGAGTGCATTTTGGGTGTAAGGGATAGTGTCTTGAAAGGTGTTGAGATAAGTAATAAAAGAATCAGTATGTAGTAGAGCATAGAGTGAATGGAAGGGAGCTATATAAAATGAAACTGGAATGCTATTTTGGAATTAGATAGTAGAAGGCATTAAATACCAACCTGATATGTTTGTCTTTATCCTAGAGGCAACAGGGAGTTACTAAAGATTTTGAAAGCAGGGAATTGACATGTTGAGTCTTGTGTCTGAAAGGGATTACTTTCATAGCTACATGGAAGATAGTTTGGAAAGGAGAACAATTATAAAGCTATTAAACCAGGGGAAAATTGATGTGACCTAAATTAGGATAGTGACAATGAGAGTGGAGAGAAGGGGCAACATGTGAGAGTAGTTTTCAAAGCAGAATTGTCAAGACTTTGTAGATGATTGGAAATGAGGAGAAGAAAGGAGAAGAAAGTCAGGGATGATCCTAAGGTTGTGAACCTGGGGTGACTGGAAAGATTTTGGTGACCTGAAGAGAAATGGGTAAGTTTGGGAAAGGATTTTTGTTTTGTTTTGTTTTGGTAGGAGAAAGGAAATGAGTTCAGTTTTGGATATACTGATTTTATGACACAGCCCCTACAAAGACTTTTAACAGGCAGTTGGAGATTTGGAAGCGCTCTACATAGAGATGATAATTGTACTGATGACAACTGATGAGATCATCAAAAGAGAAGATTTAAAAAGACAGACATGGAACCTTGGGAAACAGCCACAGTTAGGATATGGGATATTGATGATGTTCCAGCCAAAAGAGGCCAACCAGTTTGGAGGTAAACCAATAAAGAGCAATGTCACAAAGAGATTATGTCCAGGAGTAGGAAGCACTAGACCAGGTCAAAAGGTGCAAAGGTCAAGTGAGATGAACATTTAGAAAAGACTGATGAAATTAGCCATTAAAGGATTATTGATACTCTTGGAAAGAGCAGTTTTGGTTAAGCAATTGAATAGAAGTCAATTTGTAAGGAGGTAGTAGGTAAGTAGGAGATGAA